AAAGCGCCCAAAGTTTTCCATGTATTTTATATGGGGAAAAAACAACTTTTGGTAGAAGTGGTACAGAATTCTTAAACATCAATATTTTTCTATCGGAAGACTCTGATTGTTTGTAGAAGATTCTCGGAAATAATACCCAATTGTTTATTTAACCATTGAATATTGATGTTAAAGAATTCAGTACCATTTCTATGAATTTTTTTTTATACCCGAGCGCACTTGTGCACAAGGGTATTATAACTTTGTTCACATAACGGTTGTTTGTGACAGGCAAAACGAATCGAGATAGATATAGACAAATGTATACATAAATGATTAGAATGAAAAGAGAAATCGATTAAGCGGTGACTGTCTGTCCGTCCGTCCGTCCGTCCGTCCGTCTGTGCACACGATAACTCGAGTAAAAATTGAGATATCTTAACGAAACTTGGTACGTGGACTTCTTTTGGGCGTAGGACGGTATTGAAAATGGGCTAAATCGGACAATAACCACGCCTACCTCACATATAACGGTAATTTTCAGAAATACGAAAACTGCGATATTTTAGTAACTATTAAAGATAATATCAAAATTGATATTTACAATGAGTTTTAGACGAAAAATAAGAATATTATAGATTTTTGGAAAATGGGCGTAGCCACGCCCACTTATGGTTACATGTGTATAACTTGGTAACCGCTGCACCAATTTCTTCCAAACTTGGCACAGTTGTTGGTCCTGGCACAGCATCCCAAATGGCCGAAAATTTTTAAAATCGGACAATAACCACGCCCACATCTCATTATACGGTAATTTAGAAAAATACGAAATCCTCGATAAATCAGTAAATATTAAAGCTAATTTTTTCAAAATTGATGGGTGCAACAACTCTTAACAAAGAAATATGTTTGTGATAAAATTTTGAAAAATGGGCGTGGCACCGCCCACTTATGATCACATATATGCGTCTCGGTAACCGTTCTACCAATTTGTACCAAACTCGGTATTTTTATTGTGCTTGCTACATAAAAGCGAAACGTTGAAAATTATTGAAATCGGACTAAAATTACGGCCGTTTTTCATATAACCGGTAAATTTCAGAAATGCTTGAAATTTCAATATTTCGAAATTTAAGGACGCTAATTTACTTAAAATTTATACACCCCGGCTTATCATGTAGCGGCAGCTTTCGGAAAGGTGGAAAACATATATTTAATACTTGCGCCGGGTATTTAATGTTCGGCTCCGCCCAAACTTAGACTTTCTTACTTGTTTCATATAAAAATACATGGAAAACTTTGAGCGCTTTGAGAGACCTCTAAATATTTTTTTATTTCAAAATAAAAATTAGGGGTATACTTGTTTTCGATATAGAACAATCCTAGGGGGTGAGAGCATTACAATTCCGACTGTACTCTTTTTGGACGACCCTAATGTACATACATATGTTTGTATGCATGCATGTATTTTTTGTATGCAGTGATATCAATGCGCACGCACTGCTTATCTTGTTCGACAAACAATACATACAACATGTTTTTCACACGAAATGCCGTTTTGTTACTACATAAATACATACATACATACTTAACTTTTGTACAAAAAAACAAAAAAGATAGATGTTTCACAGATGACTGACAGCTGTAACAAAGCATATATCAAATGTTTTAACATAAAAGGAAAAAAGAAAAATAGAAATTGCATACAAATGTTCAATAAATGTATGCAGTTTCAGCTAAGCAAATTTATTTAAATTTTTTTGACAATTGTGGGAACAAAAACTACTTTCTTTGCAAAGCGAATGCCGCATTCAAATATCCAACGCAATAGTAGTAAATATTTAAATTTCAAGTTCAAATATTACTAAGACCGTTGGTTTGAAAAAAAATAAAATTTTTCAATTAAGTGGTTCAAGTGTGGTCAAGGTGACTCGCGGCATTACAAGTTTATAAAACAAACTAAAAGCGGTTGCTTCAAAGCACAAACTCACCGTACGGGCCTCGTCGCCCCAAGCACAAAGCGACCTACTACATACATAATACAAATAGCAAGGCAGGTAAAGATGCACAAACAAACATACATGCATACATACATACACTTGCTTACATATGCACATATTCACTCACAGAAAAATAGACAAATCAACTGCATAACAGCAACTTTCTTCGTAGAGTTGATGGATTATGCTGCCTGACTGCGAGTGAGCCACTACTCTTGGCTTGAACGCCCTCCTCTACACCTGCCATGCTTTTCGAGTCAATCAAATTGCTCGGCATACGTTCGACTGTTGGCGGGAGGGCGTGGAATGAGAGTCATAACGCTTGGATACCGTTAATAAGAGTCCGCAATTAATCTGCAGGTGTACGAGTATTCGAGGCAAAATCTAAATGACCAGCGTCAGCAGCAGCAATGACTGTAACAGCAGCAGCCACAACAGCCATTGAAATAATTGTTGGTGTTTTTTTTTGTTATATTGTTAGCAATTGCTACTTACGGGTCTATTCTGCGTTGGTAACAATAATTTTGTAACCGCTAAAAGCAGTGTCTGTCAATTTTTAACCCCTTTTCGCATTCTGTGCACTCTTCTAACCAGTAAATTTTGTTGCCATCTTACAAGCTGGTAACAAAATATTTTGCGCCGTGAAATATGCAATATAAGAATTTCGCCAAATCTTCATAGCTGAATTGCTGAATATTTTGACTGCATTACCTACGTATCTAGAATCGCGGGGACAAGAAGTACATACATAGTAACATTTTTTGGTAATGAAAATTTCCGATTACAAAATTGTCGGTAACGTGCAGAATAGACCTGTTAGTTGAATAAATAAATGCTTTATGACCAACTTTAATTACTTGACTTGTACTTGTTCGCACGTATGCATGTATGAGTGTCTGTGTGTATGTATGTACTCGTAAACTACTGCATCGACAACAATATAAGATACTAGAAAAAACAACTACTCACGCAAATTGCAATTTTTACCCAGCCAGCAAAGCAACGTAAATTTTGCCGACAGTGCAGTCTAGTACAATTTTCCGTATCCGGAAACGAATAGAAAACGACTACAGTATCATTCGTTTTCGTATACGGAAAACGTTCGAAACGTTCGAAAAAGATGATGTTATTTAAAAGGAATGATTGTATTTTATTTGTTCAAGCTAAACATTTGAAAGCATGCATGCGTAGTCGGCAGTGGCTGAGCGTGCAGAGAGCATTGCCCTATTTGTTAGCTTCCAGGAGGGTCCGGCTTCGAATTCCGTCAGGCACTTCCTATTTGGATTTTACTTTTTTTAACCATAAAAAAGTATCTGTGAAGTGCAGAAGGAAAGCGTATTGAACGAAAAATTCAATCGGACAAATTTCAGAAAAAAAAACAGTCGAAAAAGTATCCATTTCACACACAATTTTCGGAGGTTGTCTGTACATACGTTTCTGCCGCACACTTTAGTTCGTTAAAGTATCCGAAAATGGAATAGGTAATCCGCACTTCATCCACTTTTTTTTCTTTTTCGGATCGGTTTTCGGATTTTTCGCTGGCTGGGTAGTGACGTCATTGAAGCATCACAGCCGCTGGCAAGCGCTGCTCTCATTACGCGACCAATTCTTTACGGCTTAAGGTAGACCACTTGTAGCTAACTTGGCGGTTGCAGCGAAGCGTATCCGAAAAAACAAGCCAATCAGCTCTACAAGCCAAAGTAGTGAAACCGTTTTGATATGCAGTGTAAAGCACAGTGAGTCAGTTCAGCTTATTCGGTGAAAATTTTTCTAAAGCATTTATTAAAAGAAAACCATACCTAGTAAGCTTCTCATAATGTAAAAAATTCAGAAAAAAAATCTATTTTATAGCAAATATTTGCTGAAATTTTTTTTTAGCAAAAATACGCAAAGCAAAGTTAAGACAAACCAATTCCAAGAACTAAAATTTTTAAAACTCCTCCAGGAATAGGCACAAAATGTAAAAAAACTTCTAAAAAGAACCAACATTTTTGAGTATCTTAATTTTTTATCAAAACAAAAATAATTACAAGAAAAAGTCGGTGTTTCTTCTGCAAAATGGAAATACTCATCTTCAACAACGGGAGGGTACGAACGATTCCATTTTTTGTCGTTGTCATCCATACATAAAGCATAAAGTAAAAATACCTTTAAGATGTAAGTATATATATATTATATAGGTATAAGTATAAGACACCTATACCACATAAAGCTCAAAACGATATCCGAATACTTATATGTAAGTGTTCCTCTCGTTCTGAAACATTTCGTATTAAGATTCGAAAAGCTATACGTTTGTGCTATTAAAAAGCAAAAATTTTTCCTTAAAATCAAAGCTCCTCTCCTGACAGGCAAGCGTGCAGAGCTTTAATAATCTTTCACTTTATATCAATGGTAAAAGCTCTCTCTATCCAGCATTGCTCCAAATCAGTGATGGCAGAGAGAGCTTTTACACTGCATATAAAATGTATAGAAAGCTTAAAAAGAGCTTTGCCCGCGGGCAAGAAGGTGCCCATCACCGCTCTAAATCATCAATGGATATAGCCTTTAACCTATACATAAAAAAGTATATACAAAGCTTAAAAAAGCTCTGCACGGCACTATCATCACCTCTTTAGACCATATCTCTCTATATAACTTTTTATATATTATATGTGGGAGCGCCCAGATCGCCAATGCTCTCAATTAGTAATGGCCAGATAGAACTTTTACTTTGTGCTCATCTACATATATTAGTTATAGGCAGCATGAGATTTTACTCTAAGCAGGTCCATCTAATTGTAGATTTTATAAGTGCACGAATAAGCTTTGTGAAGTTTTCAAGGGACTTCATTAGATCGCTCACAGATTAAACATCTCAGATCTCTATGATCGCAATTGATAAAAAACAGCTTTGATGATTTTTTGAATCATCAGCATGTTCCACAGTGCACTAGCGACTTACTACAAACTGGCATACCCCGGTAAATCAGCGCTTTTCTGCAGCTCCTGCATTTCAGCGCCAATCAGTCTCGTATTGAATTTCAAAGCGTTCGCAGACGGCAAACCACAGCCATCCGAGCAATTAATACATGTGAGTGATCAACTCGTTAAATACAAATCAATGACCGCTGCGCCTCACACACACGCGCCCACACAGGCTGCCTGAAGTGCGCGTATTGTAAGCGTTAGTTCAATATGCAAATCATTCCGATATCGTGACTTGTTTCTTTTTCTTCTCTGTCTTGAAGTGAGCTACTGAAAATTTTGTAAATAGTCGAAGTTTCCTACTATTTAATCCACTTCCTCCCCAGTCACGCACCGAATTCACCCGGTATCATCCACATAACATCCTTTGCTATGCACACAAGAATCCTTTTCCAGCACCCCTTTGCTCAACCGCATGCTCTGGGCCGGTATCTGAGCGTTTTGCAACACATTGCCGAGCACAACAAAAAGGCGTGGCCGAGCGCTTGGTTAAAAACTCGCAAATACTTATGTACAAAGTACTTTGTACATACACACATACATATGTATATGGTGCTACGCAGTCACACGGCCATCCGATGTCATAAGCATCTTACTGCCATATGCTGTTTACCTGCTGAACGTTCGCAGGCTATTGCGTCACACCACCACATTTACGGCTGGACAATACCAATTCGCAAATCTGCAAGGTAAAGGGCGGCGCGTCCAATATGACTACTCGCAGTGAAAGTTCAACAACGGCCACTCCCGTGTCGATGCGTTTGGCTTGGTGTATCGCAGGCCCTTTGATGTGTGACGGCAATCAAATCGTTGAATCTCAGAAGTCACCAACGATCCGCGTAACTGCGCCGAGTTTAGACGAATAAATTTAAAACAAAAATTGCACAAGCAAAAGTGAAATATTTCGAATAAAGCGCTTCAGGCATGAAGTATCGTAAGTGCGGAAACCTGTTTTGGGTTAGAGTTTTAAATGTAAATTCTACTTCGTGCTGTCGATTTAACGTCCATTAGCAAATTAATTAGTTGAACGGCGTAAATGAATGGCGTAATGCATTTGGAAACTATAATAGTAATATTGCAATTGCCAATTTGTGCTAACAAGGACCGGTAATTAGAAGGGAAAACCTAAATTTACGTACTCAATTTAAGTTGGTAATTAACTGCAAATATCTTCGTCTTCTTCTTCTTCTAAGCTGGCGCTATAACCGCCTAAGCGATTTTGGCCGAGTTAAAAAAAGCACGCCAGTCGTTTCTCATCTGTGCCAACTGACACCATTTGGAAATGCCAAGTGAAGCTAAGTCCTGCTACACCCGGTTTTTCCATAGCAGTGGGGGCCTCCCTCTTCCTCTGCTACCACCAGCGCGTTCCGAGTTGAATACTTTCAGAGCTGGAGCGTCGGAGTACATTCAAATGGCATCTCAATTGCCTACTCATTCCAAAGTAGTCCGTTTGGATTCTGACGAAGCTTGCGGTATTGCTCAATGTCTTTTTACCGTGGACCGCGGATAATGGTAGGGTTAAGAGATGGCTCTTCAAATCAACTTTCAGTTCTACAAACCGATGTCCAGCATTATTAAGCCTCTCGTCTGGCATTGGCCTTTTTGGAAACCTCGATTAAGGCTCTCTTCGCCTGCCATAAATAGAGAAAGAGACTCGGTTTATAAAAGCAACTCACACAACTTTTGGTTCCTTTCTACTACAAGTAGATGTGGTTGTTGTAACAGCATACAATTCCCCAAGGAGTTTTTGTGGAGTGTTGCTGAAATGACAGTCCTTGGCCAGATATAAATCTGCGACGTTCCGGTTCCGTAGACCCGGCTTTCGAGGCAGCGACCACAAGTAGTTCGAAGGCGATACTGATAAAGATCTTAGTTCTGCGCTGTTTGGTTGGAGTTCATTTATATTTCCTCATCAAATTTTTCTAAAAAGCGAACTTTTAAACTGACTATACCAGCGAACTGTTCAGTAAGGAAAGTGAAGACTTAATTAAAGCACCAGCTTTTGCTGTATAATTTCCTTAAACTGACGGTCTCATTTAGTTTTAAAAGCGACGAATATAATGGCAAGTTTAAATGTTGAAAGCCCATTCACGACACCTGTCTATCTTAGGCAATGAGTAAGCAGAAATTTTGCATAATTTTAGTTTATATCTGGTCCATCAACCTCGTCGTTTCATTTTATTGGTGTTCAAAAGCACAGTTATTCCCGCACATACAAGTGCATATGTATGTAAATAGTTATGCATACTTTACGTCTGCATCGCAGCCAACGCCGACGATGCTGTCAACTTTGTTGAGTTACCAGCCGTTTTATAGAGCTGTTAATTGAATTTGAAAACAATGCAGCGCGGTCAGCGCGTGGTTCCAGCCTAGTCGAATACGAACGCCGAAGAGCTGAAAATGTGAAGATGAGGATTGGGAAGTATTTAGATTACTTTGCGTGTGTTTGGTAATTTAACTTGCAAATGAGCGCCAAATTCCAAGCTAAGCAGCAGCAGCATCAAGAGCAAACAACAAAAAAGATCTAAAAACAGTAAAACAAAAAAAAAAAAGTAAATTTCATATAAAAGCCGCGGATGCGATAACGATGCGATGCGCAACACCGCCAAAAAAATGATTAGCGGCCACACCAACTTTACTTTCACTTTCAGGGGACGATCGTCGTCGCCGCTTAAACTTAGCTCAATATTTTTTAAATGCCCTCAGCGGCTGTCATGTTTTTTGGTACGGTCGTGACTGCAATTGCGTATGCGTATGTTGTTCGTGCAACTTCTACAATTTTCCGTGTTTGTTGATAATAAATTTCCATTTGTTTCTGCACTTCTTCACAGATCAGCGGCTCCGTATTTGTTGTGTTAATTGCTGTTGTCATTGCGCGTCTACCCATTCTTCCATAGTTTTATTTTCTCAGCGGCAATCCATAATAACTGCCAGCTGCGGAAAAAGCGCACGCCTCTGCCGAACAATCAACCTGCTAGCCAGCTAGTTAACAGGCCAGCTCGGTTAAACGGCCACAGTTGACGCAAAGTCAGTTAGTCGAGCAGTTCGCAGTGAAGCAGTCCAATAGCACGCTGCCTCGACTTTAAAAACAGTGATCAGTTTTTGTATTACAAAACCACATTCCAGCATGGATCCACTAACAGTGTTGCTGCTTCTGTTTACCGCCTTAACGCTGATTTGCATCCACTTGCATCGCAAGCAGCAGTACTGGGAGGCACAAGGCATACCGCTGATCAAACCGTTCCTGTTCTTCTACTATGGACGCGGTCGCATTGGCAGCGATTGTCACGCAATCGATATACCCAACGAAGTGTACAGCCGCTTTCGTGAGTCGGGCCTGCCTTTGGCGGGCATGTTTATGATCGGCGATCCCCTCATCATTCTACTCGATCTGGAGGTTATCAAACACGTACTGATCAAGGACTTTGCTAACTTCAGCTATCGCGGCCTTTACCACAATCTGCGCGACGATCCGCTAATGGGTAATCTGGCCGCCATCGATGGTCCTTACTGGAAGCGACTGCGCGCCAAGCTTACACCCTCTTTCACAACGGGGAAAATGAAATTTATGTATCCCACGCTCATCAAGGTGGCCGAACAGCTGTCAAGTGTAGTGGAAAAGCGGCTCACTACCGAGGGTATAATCGATGTTAAGGACTTATCTGCTTGCTACACCACCGATGTCATCGCGTGCTCTACGCTCGGCATCGAGTGTGACAGCCTGCACAATCCGAACGAGGACTTTCGCCTAATCACAATGAAGTTCTTCGAGGAGTATAGCGTGACGCGTGATCTGATTAGTCAACGTTTTCCGCAGCTCGCAAAAATGCTGCGTTGGACAAACACACCGAAATCGGTAACCGATTTCTACATCAAAGTTGTGCGGGACAATATTGCCTATCGCGAGGAGCATGGCATTGTGCGACAGGACTTTTTACAAATTATGATGGATCTCATCAAAACGGAAGCGCTTACGATGGAAGAGATTGCTGCGCAAGTGTTTGTATTCATTATTGCAGGCTACGAGACCACTTCGACGACCATGACGAACTGTCTGTGGGAGCTGGCAGTGAATGAGGATATACAAGATATGGTGCGCGAGGAAATCGTGCGGGTTATGCAGGATCACGGTGACCAGCTAACATATGGTTGCCTCAAGCAGATGACCTACTTGGATCAGACGCTGAAAGGTGAGTGGTTGGAGAGTTGGAGGGAATTATTTTTTAGATTTCGTTATTTGAAACAAATTCCTAAATAGTGAATGAAACTTCAGAGTTTTTGGCATGTTCTTAAGTTTAATTTTTTTTGCACATACACATACACGTGCATATGTATGCAATACGTTATCCGTGCAAGAAATCATATAGTTGTTTTTTATCCATTTGCAAAACCGGTTTGTACTCCGCAAACACTTAAGCGACATTGTTTGCAGCTATATTTGATGCACAAAGGCAATTAGAACCCTGGTTTCGCTTTTGCTGAGACCTTGAGCGCAATTTAGCTAAGTGCTTGGTCAGGCATAAAATTGTACAAACAAACGAATTGAAAGCCAAACAAAATGGTTAACGATACTTATCAAAGTGAATACTTACTTACTTGCTAAATGGAGTACAAATAAATGAATCGAAAAAAAAGAATATTTACAATTGCAGCTGAGGTACATATGTACACTAGGGTAGTTTAAAACAAGTAAAGTCGGACTTTTAATGCTCGCACCCCTCTAGGATTATTCTATATCGAAAAAATATACCCCTGTTTTTTTTTTAAATCAAAATATATTTAGAGGTCGCTCAAAGCGTTCAAAGTTCTCCACGTATTTTATATGGGGAAAGAACAACTTTTCGTAGAAATGATATGGAATTCTTGAAAATTAGTATTTTTCAATCAGATACCTCTCTTCATGAGACTCCCAATAACAATGCCCAACTGTTTTTTTAACCATTTTTTAATACCAAAGATTTTTTATTTTTTCCCCCATTGCATTTTCTGGGGGTTTTGACGGACGTATAAAATATAGTTACTATAAAAAAATGGTTAAATAAATAATTGGGTAATATTATTGGGAATCCTCTGAAGAGGAACTGAGTTTTGCCGATCGAAAAATATTGGTCTTCAAGAATTCTATACCATTTCTACGAAAAGTGGTTTTTTCCCCATATAAAATACATGGAGAACTTTAAGCGCTTTGAGCGACCTCTAAATATATTTTGGTTATAGTATGTTTTTCGGTACAGAAAAATCCATAAAGGCATAGAAATTCCCACTTTACTTTTTCCACATGCATTTTTGGAACACCCTAATCTACATACATACTACATATGTTTGTAAATAACTATCCAGGTTACTAATTTATAGTGTTGGGCGGCTTTTCCACTTATGTGGAATTTATTCTAAAGTATAACAAAAATCATGCTTTAAATTTTGGCATTGAAACGTGAGGGGAGAATCTAAGTTTTACCTCTACACAGTTTTTTAAAGGAATCTCGGTCAATCCGAATTTGTGCAAAATATCTCTAATAGTAAAATACTTATTATTAATTTTTTACTATTTATTATTACTATTTTATTTGCTTGTTTTGTAAGAGTCCATTGACTTAAAATTAAAACATAGCATTAAAACTTTACATCATTTTTGATCACTTTCTACTTTTTCCCTACAGAAACTCTCCGCAAGCATCCCATCGCACCCGCCTTGAAGCGTGTGGCCTACGAAGACTACAAAGTACCCGGCACCAATTTCATAATCAAAGCCAACACTACAGTCCTCATACCATCCGAAGCGATACAACACGATCCCCGCTACTATCCCGAACCTAACAAATTCGATCCAATGCGTTTCACACCCGAAGCTATGGAAGAACGTCACCCGATGACATTTTTGCCATTCGGCGATGGACCACGCAATTGTATCGGTTTGCGGTTCGGTCGCATGCAAGTACTCATCGGCTTGGTAATGTTGCTTCGTAAATATCGTTTTAGTGTGGCGAAAACGACGCCCATACCGTTAGTTTACGATAAAGCTATTTTATTGCGCGCGCCAAAGGGAATGGTGGAGTTAAAGTGTGAACGAATTGTGGAGGAAAGGTGCTTGAGTAATGTGGCTAAGGCGTCGACTGAAGAGCAGCAAAATTTTGTGCAGAGAATTAGCGAGCAACGTGAGCATGAAATTGCAAAGGAAGAGAGAAATAAATAGCGGAGCAATAAAGTGGAGTTTGGAAGCGATAGAAATGAAGATTGACTTTGAATTTTGATACTTCATAGATAGAAGTTTCGAAGGGTACATAAATTTACAAAACATATATGAACTACATACTTGTCGAAATATTCTTTGGAATATCATATGTATGCATACGGCCACATTTAGGGCAACGAATATGGATATTTATTTTTATTATGCTTTTTTAATAAATGAAATCGTTCGAAAACCTTTTTAAAACTTATTTTATGTAAAAGTTGATTTTTTTTTATTTAAGGTTTATTTATAGAAAAAAAATTAGATTTAGGAAAAATATTATTGTTATGTACATATAACTATTAAAAACGAACTTCGAAAATGCAAAAAAAAATTAAGCGTACTTTTTTATTTACAATTTATGACACTGCAGCAATCGGAAGCCGAATAACTACTTATGTATGTACATATAATTATTTTGTATTGAATGTACTACTGATTGCTGAAACGGTAAATCAAATTATACACGAATACCAACCCAATGTATGGAAATACTTATAAACCAAGAGCTATTCTAATTGTATACCACAAAATTGAATTTCAACCATCGGTTGGATTTACTATAGTCAGATATTTCTTCCAGATCACCAATTTTCGGGCACATTTTGTAAAAAATATTTAATACAAATTTTGTAGGAAAAAATGTGAAAAATTTATATAACCATTTGCTGTATAAACATTTTTAGGTCTCCAAAAGATAGCTCCAGACATGCTCTATAGACCCACAAGTTTTTGTGAAAATTGTACAAAAACTTTATGAGAAATTCGCGCTTGAAGCTTTTTAGACAAAAATACACCGGTCGTACGACCTTTTTGCAGTCGAAGTATCGCCCAACTGCCAGCAGCCAGGACTCAGTTCTCACATTTTTCTGAATTTTTGTGAACAACTTTTAACCATCGGCTGAATATTCCACAGTCAGAAATTTCTTGGAGATCAACAATTTTCGGGCACATTTTGTAAAAATTATTTAGTACAGATTTTGTAGAAAAAAATGTGAAAAATCGCGCCTCAAGTCTTTCTTTCAGCCCAAAAAATTTATATCAAGATTTGCTGTAGAAACTTTTTTAGGTATCCAAAAGATTGCTCCAGGCATGATCTAAAGACCCACAATTTTTTGTAAAAATTGTACGAACACTTTATGAGAAATTCGCGCTTGAATCTTTTTAGACAAAAATACAACGGTCGTACGACCTTTTGGCAGTCGAAGTATCGCCCAACTGCCAGCAGCCAGGACTCACTTTTCACATTTTTCTGAATTTTCGTGAGCAACTTCCAACCAACGGTTGGATATTCTGCAGTCAGAAATTTCTTGGAGATCAACTATTTTAAGGCACATTTAACAAAAATTATTTAGTAAAGATTTTGTAGAAAAAAATGTGAAAAATCGCGCCTCAAGTCTTTCTTTCAGCCCAAAAAATTTATATAAAGATGTGCTGTAGAAACATTTTTAGGTCTCCAAAAGATAGCTCCAGACATGCTCTATAGACCCACAAGTTTTTGTGAAAATTGTACAAAAACTTTATGAGAAATTCGCGCTTGAAGCTTTTTAGACAAAAATACACCGGTCGTACGACCTTTTTGCAGTCGAAGTATCGCCCAACTGCCAGCAGCCAGGACTCAGTTCTCACATTTTTCTGAATTTTTGTGAACAACTTTTAACCATCGGTTGGATATTCCACAGTCAGAAATTTCTTGGAGATCAATAATTTTCAGGCACATTTTGTAAAAATTATTTAGTACAGATTTTGTAGAAAAAAATGTGAAAAATCGCGCCTCAAGTTTTCTTTCAGCCCAAAAAATTTATATAAAGATGTGCTGTAGAAACATTTTTAGGTCTCCAAAAGATAACTCCAGACATGATCTATAGACCCACAAGTTTTTGTGAAAATTGTACAAAAACTTTATGAGAAAGTCGCGTTTGAAGCGTTTTAGACAAAAATACACCGGTCGTACGACATTTTTGCAGTTGAAGTATCGCCCAACTGCCAGCAGCCAGGACTCACTTTTCACATTTTTCTAAATTTTTGTGAGCAACTTTCAGCCATCGGTTGGATATTACACAGTCAGAAATTTCTTGCAGATCAACAATTTTCGGGCACATTTTGTAAAAATTGTTCAATACAGATTTTGTAGAAAAAAATGTGAAAAATCGAGCCTCAAGCCTTTCTTTCAGCCCTTATTTAATATAGAGAAATCTAGGAAAAACATGATGCACATATAATTCTCTTACTAAGGTATGTAAATATTTAACATTTATGTAGAATACGACTAAAATTATTTATTTTTAATTCTCAAATAAAATTTTTTATTTTTTATTTTAAAAACTTCGTTTTTCATATGGAGAAAATTTCTATACGCATATTTTTTCACTACATTAAATAAAGTATGCTTGTATGTATAAGTAACTTGTGCTTATTTTAAGAACTGCAAGTAAGTATGTATGTAGTATAAATAGATTTAGATTACATTGTATAAGTAGTACAATCGTGTAAGTGTACATACATACACATACATATGTATGTATACTTAAATGTTCATTTATGTGTCTCACTTCCATCACTATTGCTAATTTCGTATTTTTCTTTGATTAAGTGCTATTTAATTTTGAAATTTGAAATTGACTCGAGTGCTTTAAGAATTATGTATATACATATGTATGCATTTTTACATACATACATAATTTTTTTATGTATATATTTGCGATCATTAACATCGGTTGATGTGCTTTCTGGTAACAGAATATTTTATGATTAAAAAGAGTTTTTCCTTTTTTCTGTGTTTTATTTTTGTTCTGTTGCTTTATTTGAAATAACCATTAAATAATCGTAAATACTAATTCTAAAAGCAACTAATTGTGTACAAGCTTGCTCGAAACTAAAATTCTTAAAATTTTAAAAATTATACAGTAAATACATACATAAAGCAAAATTAGTTGACCCTATTTTTATTTTTGTTTTGGTATACCAATAAATTTTGAAGATAAGTTTTAATATCAATTTTTATATCTGATCGCAAAAGGTCAAAAAGAATTTTAGATTAATTTTTTTAGGCAGTAGCAATACTATCACTTGCCCTTTTATTAACAATTGGATGGACTTTGTTTCAATTTAATTTGTATAGCAACTACATATATTTTGAGCAAAGTGCAAATTTCTTCGTAGAATTCGTTTATTGCATTATTTGAGTTTTTAATTGATTGTTCACCTGTGTTTTCTACGAACGCAATATGTATTACGTACTTTAAAATTTGATATTATTATTTTTTTTTTTTAGTTTTAGTATTCGTTTATTCAATTTTCGTTTTCTTCAGATTTTTTAAAATTGTCTCCCTTTTCTCCAAATGTTCTATGTAAACATATGTGGAATGTTAGTTTGTGTGTGTTTTTTTTCGAAATTGGCATTAATAATTGATATGGCTGCTGTCTTTTCAAAAGCTTTTAAAAAATCTTTACTAAGTACCCGCAAATTTCTTCGAGTATTAGAACCTAACCTTAAAAAGTACATATTACTACATTACATAATTTCTGTTGTCGCCAGCACGCTAAAGTGCGAGACTAAGTAATATATTTAAAGATATTTAATGCCATTCTACTGGCAAAAACTACTAATTTTAAGGAAAAACTCACTACTTTGTTCGTAATTTTTTTTTGGCTGGCATCGTTTTACATATTTTCCAGTTATTCAGTGATTTTTGTTTTACTTTGTATTAGTGAAATCATCTTACGCTCCGCTAGCCATTTACCTTTTTAACGAATGCGGCTCACTTTCTATAAACACTTGCTCCAGCGTTCTCCCTCACTTAGCAGGCTTCGTGCGTCGCGGCAGCTCTAATGAAACACGCGTTGCATCACCACGATTGGGCTGTTTGCTGCGCAGCATCTGCTCGTGCACATACAACAACAAACCGAGATCGCGATGTCCAGCCTGCCAGGCTATCTTGAAAGCCGTAGCGCCATCCTGCAGAAAAAATAGTAGAAGAAAATTAAACTCAAAAACTTGTTTGGATTAATGTCTCTTCCACTCACCACATCCACTATTAGCGAATCACAATCAGGCTGTGACAATAAATGCTTGACAATATCCGTGCGTCCATGCTCCGCCGCGCACATCAGCGCCGTGCTACCGTCCTCATCCTGTATGTTAATGTCAGCGCCAGCGGCCAACAGCAACTCCACCATGTCGTAGTTACCATGGGAAACAGCCAGCATCAATGCGGTTTGGCAGTGCTGTTGGGAGGGGACACACGTTTTGTTGTTTTTGTTTTTTTGGTTTTCGGAAGCGGGGAAAAGTTATTGAAATTTTAGATTTTAGGCCAATTTTTTGTTAAAATAATTTTTAGGGGAAAAAGAAAAAGCACGCACATTGCAACACATACATATGAGTTCCACTTTGTGTCCCATTTGTTAAGCAGTTGCTCGGTCATTACCTACCTTCTTGGCTCGTATATTGACATCGGCCATCTGGAACAGTCGTTGTACGACTGTGCGATGCGCAGCGTTTTTCAGCTTTGCCAATGAGACGAGCATCACACAAGTGTATCCAGCGTTATTCATTTGATTTACATTGCAAACCTTTGAATCGAGTAAAATGGATACGACGTCAAAGTTGCCATGCGAGACCGCATAGTGCATTGCTGTATTGCCCTGGAGGTGGGTAAGAACGATAAGAGAGAGAGAGAGAGAGGGAGAAGGAGAAGGAGTCTTAATAAACCGACTGAAAAATAATATTTGAATGGACCTCTTTACGAGGCGTTGCATGCACAAAAGTTCCCACTCACATTAGCATCCACCATATTGACACAGTACTCCAGCAGCGCCACCGACATTTCCTCAAAGCAGTCCAAGTAATCCTCTACCTCATGCGGATTTGCCTTTTCGGTGCTCGAAGCGCGGAACCATTCCTGTTGTATGATCAATTTAGATGACTTCAAGCTGGTCGCCGATAAAGACTTTGCGTCAACTTTCTTCAATAGTGAGTTATTGATGGTTCTCAGAGCGTTTAGCATCTCAACAGGCGGAACGAATCTATAATTTTTATTAATCATATTTAATAATGTAACCATTCAACGACTTAGCGGTGCTTACTTTTGTCGTGGCTCCGCCTCAACCATTGCCAATTTCTGCAGCAGCGCCTTGGATGGTAGGCGCTCCTGCACCTCGCGCTTCTCTTGATTCAACTGTTCCCCTTTCACCTCCTCCTTTTTTGCCGCTGTTGAGGTTTCAATTTTTTCCTCTTGCTTGCTTGAATTTTGACTAGATTTCAGCGTTGTAGTCTTGCGACGCGCACCCTTCGAAACATCCACATCGACCAAAGTATCCTCCTTTTCTTCGCTTTCCTCAGCCAGCACAGCTTTTGTTGTTTCCAGTGTGGACTCCTCCTTTAACTTCTCATTGAATGAGCTCTCCAGCGAGCGGTACGGTGAAGGGCCTTCTTTGTGCGGTGCTGGTGAGGCATCGCGAGACCAGCTGACGCTGACGCGCTTCTCCTCACGCACAATCAGTCCATCGAGGCTCGGTTGCAGCGGCGTAGTCTCATCAACTTGGCTAGTATCTAGCGCCTCAGCGCGTTGTTGACTGGCGTCAGATGCGCGGCGCGAACTTGCGGCAGATGATGGGGCAGTGATGGAAGTGATTGCTTTGGGCGCTGCAATCTTAGCGCCGGCCGCGCCAGCTCCGTTGGTGGGCTCAGTGATGAAGCTTTGTGTTTCGCTAGCCGATTCGGGTGGCAAAAAGTGACCGATGGATGGCGGCTTCTCATGCAGCGAACTGAAATTAGAAGGCGAGAATATTTATTTCAAAAAAAAATTTTAATTTTAATTTAACAGATTCGTCACTACTCTTTACATACGTCAGCAGTAGCGCGGAGCAGCCACTCACTATCAGCGGATAGCAAGTGAAACTGCTTAGACCAGAAAACATTTATGGACTTCTGCGTTGCCTGGCAGAGTTTATTTTTCCAGCACAAATGTTCGTCCACTAATTATAAGTCGATTTTAAATTGCCTTAATAATAACAGCAAAAACAAATTGGCCGCACAACAATCATAAACAATTTTCACACATAAAATTTGAATAACTAAGAAGCACTGCAGCAAAAGAAAAATAATTCAAAAAAGCCAAGCACACGCGTGTGCGTAAGTGTAGTGCCGTTGAAGCCTTGCTGCCGCGAACTGCGTGACCAACACTTGAATCGAGCTGCTGGAGCTGGAGCTGCTGGGACACTTTTGCGGGAGAGAAAATTACCTTGAAGGTCATTGCAGCGTATGCGAGCGTAAGCTTGGTACAGTGGAGCAAAATGAGAAAAATTTGAAGACGATAGATGGCGGACGAAAAAAAAAATTAAAACAATGTACTTTAAGTGCTGCGACTATATTCGATAATCCGCCGTTATTCATAGATGAGGTGATGGCTTAAATCTACCGAGGTTATAAGTGCTGTACAGTTATCTCTTGTCACTTATCAGCTTCAATGACAATAACGAGGAAAATAATTGTCTAAAAGACGGAACGACACACTGCCTGACTTCAATTTTCCATGCATGCCGAGCATACCTTTGCACGGCGCATGCGCCATACAGTTGTTGAAAATAAATATTTGGCCGCTAAAATGCCACCGCACGTACACAAATAGCTGCTTGAACTGGAGTGGAACAAAATGTTAGTGGAGCAGGTCAGGGTAATGAAGTGGGGCAGCGTACATCGCCACACAGCCACCGCAGCATCGCAACAAACGTGTGTGTATATGAGCTGAAGGGTGTGTTGTATATAGACAAATAGCAGCGTAGTCACTAGGTCATTTGCCTAGCGAAGGCACAAACCAGCCGTACACTAATCACCACACGTAGCGATACTTGCGCCACACAACTACTCACCTCTGTGTTGTCTTCGCTGGTTGTTTCTCCGGCGTTGTTGTTATAGTGTACGTATTCTGCCGCTGGAAGGGCCGCCGCACCGGACTGGGACTAGGTGGTATGTTTTTGCGACGCGGTATGCGTGAGTCCATGGAGGCGCTGCGTACTGGTGGTGGTGGACGCGGCTTGGGCGATGGTGGCGACTGTGGTGACAGAACTTTCGAGAAATCTTTGGCCAAATTCTTTATTGCGTCCTTGCAGGAATCACAGTAGTTATCCGCGCAGGCGATGGAGATATGCGGCTTCACGACATCACCACAACCAATGTCGCGTTTACGCACCGATTCAGTGTTCGCCGCCGTGTGGCGTATAGGCGCAGGCGGTAGCGTATTTACACCGTAGTCAACAGTACGCGGCGCGTCAGTATTGCTGGCAGTTGTGCGCGTTACCGCTTTCGGCGGCGCAGGCTTTTCCTCCTTCTGAGGCGGCGGTTCAACAATGACCACAGGCGGCGGCACATATTCCTCGGTGCTAGTTTGTGTCGCGCAGAGCCGTATCAGATCGCGCGTGTCCGTTTGTCGCGTCTGCCGCTCCACTTCGCTCTGCGCACTGACATGACGCTGGTCCGGTGAGCATTGCACGCCGACAGCGTGCACATAAGTGGTCGCGGTTTGGCTGCCAGTGTTATGTACTGGTACAGGTGTGTACTGTGTGCCCGTGGATTTGGATATCCGACCGAGTCGCTCGTGCTCACCCAACGAAAAGGTTTTGCTACGCAGAAATCCAGGTGAGTCGAGTAATTTCAGTGAGACTGACTTGACTTTAATAAAGCCGGGGTCTTCGGTACTGCAGCCTATGCTGCGCTTAACAATGCGGCACTTGTCACACAGCGGATCCAATATGTTGTCCTCCGAACAGCCCATAGAACGAACTTCCGGACGACAGCTGACTATAGCTTCCCGTGTTTGGGGGCTGGCCATGACACTCACCGAATTCTTAAGCACCTTCGGCGCCGTTGTGGTCTGCACTCCACTGTCCACACAACGCGGCACGTGCATTTGCGTGCCCACGTTCACTGTCTGCTTGAGCTGCTGTAGCGCCCGTAGCTCCTCATAGCGCCTTATGGCAATTTGTGTATGTTCTTCCATTTCCCATTGCGAGTGAAGCGTTTCGGTGATGCTGCGTAGCTGCTGTGCGGGGCTTGTGCCCACACTACGCACCATTTGTATCGGACTGCCGACTGCGATGTCACGCGTCGCATGCAGCCCGCACATGGTGCCCACATCGCGCTTGAGTGTGGCAGACGCGCGCAGCTGACGTTCGGAGCTGCTCGAATTGGCGCGCAGGCGAGAGCCTAAACTCTCCAACGAGACCGGGCTGATGCGTTGCGGCGTGAACTGCACTGGAGAGCCATTTTTTAAACTTGCCGCTGGGCTGGGTGAGGGGGACGGACGCGGCGCTTCACGTGCACGCTGCAGTTCGTCCTCCTTGCGCTGCAGTGATTGCTGCAGTCGCTGCTTTTCGTCACGCAATTGCGTCAGCTCGTGCTGAAAGTAGAACAAGTAAGAGAGAAAGCACACTTTTGAAGCTTAAAATGCAACTCACCTGCAGTTCGGGTATAGATTTCACTTGCTCCTCCAAATCTTTCATGCGCTTCAAGCTCAGCGCCATCTGCTGGCGTATGCTAAACAGTGTTTGTGCATCACTTGCAGCACTTGTTTCCGCGCCATTCGTTGCTGGCGGTGATGCGAAATGCGGTGCGGCGTTTTCATCAAACACTGGCGCCTCACCTTCCGACTGCGATTGTTTTCTGTCGACATCGTCTGTGTCTATCAACTCAGTTTCACCATTTCGTGGACTCAGTAGCAGCCTTCTTGGTTGCGGTGGGTGACGACGTGGCGGCGGTGGTGGTGGCACTAGCTGTTCCACTGGCGACTTGGCGTTCGCCGCCACTGTGGCCTGAACATATGACTCATACTGCTGCTCGGCGGGCGAGAGCTTCTGATGAACGGGTAACGCGGCCGCGGCCTTGGCTAGGTAGCGCGCCGTGCGTGGTGACTTGTTGCCAGCGACGCACGAATCTGCAATGAGAGGAGAAAAAGAAAAAGTGTCAAATGAAATTGCATTTGCAATTGAAGGGAGATTACACACACATTTTTTCTTATCATTCGGCTTAACTAAAATAATTTTGATGCGCAAACGTTCCATTAGCGCGAACGGCGGACAACTGACGAGCGCGCTACCATTGCACGCCGTCGAGAGCTCAGCTAAATTATGTATTTTTCGGCTAATTGCAGTAACCGCTTCTGGTACGTTCGCGGTTGTTGTTGCTTTGCGACTTCTTGACTGATATTACCTTTGTTATTGGCATTGCTATTTGTTTGTCTTCTTTGTGTTCAGCTAGATCTCGAACTTATGCAATAATTTATAAATAAAACAAAGTCAGCAGCAAGTCGTCAGCGGCAACGTAAGCTCTAACAACGAACCTCTGAAGCCAGTTTGGTTTATTAGCATTGAAGTTTCATTTACTATTGTCGTTTGTTTTTTCGATTTGTTTATTAGTGCGGTAGGAGGAAGAGGAAATAATGTCGGGCTAAAGCAAATTCATGCAAATGACATTCAAAAATTCGCATAACGGTTAACATGAATTCAAAGGTGAAACTGAAATCAGAGTAAAATTATGGTAGTGTATTCAAAACTACCTCACCAAGTCTTTTTAAATTGAGCGCTAAGGGCCCATTTATTTTGAATTTAATTTGACAGACAACCAGTTATGTGTGGTTAATACACCGATTGAGAAGTATCAATACGAGCTAAGTGAACGAGCTAATAAAAAATAGTAAAATTTCACTAGGCATCTATATATCGTCACCTGAAAATCAAAAAGACGAACAAACATCACCGCTGAAATGCAAAAAGTCGCAACTAATAAAAAATTCCAAATTCAGTTTTTGATTGATACGATGAATTTCATCGAATTACAACTCCCACCTCATTTATGAAAATAAAAAAATTATTAGTCAGGACTTTTTCCATTTCAATTACGATGTTGTTACGTCTTACTGCATTTCAGGTGACGATATGTTGCATACTTCAAGGGGTACTACGCGAACTCAAGCGTCTACGATGACTTATTTTATTCAAAAGACATAGCCTTTCGCCACGGTAGCTTAAAGGGAGGAGGCTAGGGAAGAAAATAGTAAATTTATGCATTGCTAAATAGCAGCAGTTTTCCTTCTCAACAAGCATTTAAAAAATATTGATTAAGCCTTAACATTTCATACTTTTAGGCAGCCATTAATACATGGCAAGATTCTTACATATAGTGGCGTACCATATCTGCGAAAGGGCAATCCTGAAACGCTAACTTAGATGTCGGTGCTGACCTCGATTCGTCTTTCTGTGACTTTCATTCTATACGATTTCTAGCTAAGTAAGCTTTACAAAGAGGATCAAAACTGATCTCAGTAATATTTAAGAAGACCTGGAGAGCAAATCCGACAAATATCGGATAAACCAAAACATGCTAACCTGGACCACTGATGGCTCGTTGACTGAAGAGGGTACCGCCGAGGTGGGTGTAGTTGGACCGAGGTTAAGATACTCAGAATCCATGGGAAAATATAGTAATGTCCATTTTCAGGCTGAAACATACGCCATGTAAAGGTGCACAGACTTTAATATCAGGCGAAACTACCTAAATCAGAACATCGCTATCTTGGCTAACAGCAAAGCGGCTATCAAGGCCCTCAGAACTCATCAGTTAGCATCTCAACTGGTGATTGAGTGCCTCGATAAGTTGAATACTCTTCGTCGGACCAATCGAGTTTGGAAAGGAAAGGAAACGTGATCGACGATGGCCCGGTTAGAGGAAGAGGCTCGAAGAAATCGCTACTGGGATAAACTACCATGTCTAGAGCAGTCCAAAGCACTTTCAGGAACATATAACCTAAAAAGCTTTATGAAATGTTTGAGCTTATCAAAAAATAGAAATAAAATATTGAGAATTATTACTGAAAATTTGTTATTTTAAATTTTAACAGTCTGATAAGTTTTAAAATTGCTTGGTGAAACCCGGCATTAATATAAGAAATATAAACTAAAAATATAAATGTATTCCAGTCCACCTACAATTACTCCACCAGCTTTTCACATCCTTCAGCCGTGATTTGGATTTCGAGATTGGGTTCTCGTTATTGTTAAGCGACGATTTACGCTCCTTGCGTCGATTTGTTTTACTTGTAGTGGTGAACATTATTTGAACAACTGTTTTTATTGTATTTTTAATCTCGGCATAAAAATTAATCTATGCTAAACAAACAAAGTACGTAATTGACTGCACAGCGAGGTCGCAGTTCAACTCGCAATAATCACAGCTAACGACTATCCGCAGCCAATTGCTGATAATTTATTTAGAGAGCACAGAGTTGATTGCTTTTATGCTTACATAAATGTAGAAGAATAAAAACAATGTTATAAAGTTTATAAAATTATTTGCTCGAGTAATTATTGGCATTGTTAAGACATTAATTGCAGTAACAAGGCGAAGGCAAGAGCGCGGACGATTGCTGCGGTCACACACGGCGTATAAGCTGCGTACAGTGGTGGGCAATGCTTTGCTTTTTTCTTAAAGCAGAAAAGTTTTAAAAATATTTTCTTCTTCACAGCGCAAATTTTCGTTTTTTGCGATTTATTCCTTTATTATAAAAACTTCACTTGCAAGTGAAATTTTTTCAATTTCTCTACATAAAAAACTTTCTGAATTAAAATTTGTTGCCTTCTTTTTGGCCTTTTTTTATTTTTTCACAAAAAATTTATTCTATATATGTTTTCAAATTCACTTTCAAGCGCATTTTTTTTTTTAACTTTCTTTCCCATTTATTTTCCCATTCCCACCCTCGTTGTTCTCGCTTTCTACTGTTCGCGCGCTGTGGCTGCGGCTTTCGTTTGAAAATTTAATTACTACTGTTGCCGGCATTTACTACACCGTTTCGTGCACGCACAAACACACTCGCAGCTAGACAAATACATTTATTGCCAGCATTTTCATGATTGCATTTACAACAAACAAAAGCCTCAATTTCAGTTTTTGCTAATTTTTTTTTACACTTTTCTACTACGCTTGCTTCTCATTTGCAATTCTTTTGCTAGCAAACGCTTTCATTTTTAGATTTAATTGCTTTTATGGTAGCGTAAAATGTTTGCGTAAAACATACAAAAAAAAAATACAGCTGCACAAAATTGCAATTATTTCATTTACTTTATTTGTTAGCTATTAGCCTTGATTAGTGATTTGATTGCTGATTTTTCGCATTTGTTGGAACGATTTTTGCCTAAAGCTTTGGCAGCAAATTTTCTTCAAAATTCGTTCGATTCACTTCTTTTCTTGCTTTCACGCTCGCCTTACACGCCCGAGACTTAGACAGCTTGAGCGCTGCAGATAGACTGATAGGTGCTAATTAAGCCGTGATTTTCTTGCTTTCTTCGCTGCCGATCGCTGATTATGTAGCGATCTTCAATGTTTCCGCAGCTTCGACGGTGGCTTTGAAAAATTTCGTTACGACTGCTCACAGCGGTTGCGAAGAGGTTTAAGAAAAGTAAGTCGCGCTCGAATGGAGGAAAAGTACTAACTATTTATTTTCACAAACAAATACTTTCAAATAATATTTATTCAATTCTTTCATTAAATAAACAGATATAAATATTTATTTATTATTGATTTTTCGTTAAAGTGATAACGCAAACAATTACCAAAGATGTTGAAATCAATTGGAGGCCACTGACGCGCGGTAGAGTGCGCTCTTTGATCTCCCACCTCATAAGGCATAAAATGATAAGTAGCGCTCTATGAGCAGTTCACGTAGCTCTCAACGAGATAGCGGAGATGACGAAGCTAAAAACATAAATTTTTTTTTTTTAATTAAATAGAACAATCTTTGTAATAAAGAATGCTCAAAAGTGAGCTTTCGGGCAACGTGTGGTAAACTATTATTTCCAATCGCATTAAACACTCAGCAGCCTCTAGCTTGGTATGGCATCAATTCGAGGATTGCCGTCGTCTCTGAGGTTTCTATTCTAATCTACTAAAAAAATTAAAAAAAAAAGTTAATACAATTTTTAGACGACGTTAACGTCGAAATTGCCTAAGCGAAAATGAGCAAGCTAAAAGTGTGTTCGAGCAATTAGCCAAGCTTTAGCGATTTACCATACAAAGTTCCAATAAGATTATAACCTTTCCCTTCGATACCATATCAACTTGTGGACTCACATTAAACAAATTTGGCTATAAAACGAATCTCTTCGAGCAGTTGGAGACAAAACTATGTTTTCGTGATGGTGAGTCGCTGAATGGCGTTTAAAAAAAAAAAATATTCTCTATCTTTGATTACGCCAGACAGACAGTTACGTTACTTTGACCACCCTTTTCTATCACAAAAGAGGGAGGCTATATGACAAGTTACCCACACCAGAAAACGTGTTGAAATGTGAATAAAAATATAAACTAATTTCCTGAAAAACTATTTGACTACGTTCCAAATGTACCGAAAATGGTATGTAAAGCTACGATTGTAACAACTTTCCCATCACTGTAGGCAATGGAGCAGCTAACTGCGTGTCGCTAATCGAGCAGCTGACTGTGTGTGAACACCAAAAAGCGATAGATCAATCAAAAGGTTAATTGACTCAATTAAATTTCTCTCTGAACTTAATATAAGTTTCGCTTAACCCGTTCACGGCTATGCTCAAGGTATATTCAATTACGCGTGACTCACAACTCAAACGGGTAAGGGACTATAATTTCAAAAAATATAAACATACTAACGAGCAATTTTTTAAATATGTCATTGTAATATATTTCTTATAACAGCACTGTCAAATTCGATTACAATTTGTTAAATAAATTACCAAATGTTTCGATTGGTCAATAATGGTCGTATGGGCACTTTAAAAAACCTTTGAAGTTCTATGATTCTAATTTTTCTTGGCTAATTTTTTTTAGGAGCAACGGGTTTCAAGTAATCGTGATGGGTAGAAACCCAAGACAGCATTTTATTTTTATATTTGCCACTCCGAATTCAAGTTTGGAACTCACCCGCGATGCAAATTTGCATCGTTAGATCTAATATTCGCACTTTTTGGCGAGCTTTGAAAATATGTTAACCGAATATGTAGTCGAATGTCCACCGAAACCAGTAAAATTTTGAAGGGGGTCTACGAGAAGAGAAAAAATTTGGGAACCTCTGGTTTACGATAAATAAAATAAAACAATTTCAAGCATGTGTTCTTTGCTTCTATAGCTGAATAGAGAGGTGAAAGCCTGAAAAGCGCTGAACGCCCGAAAAGCGCAGAACGCCTGCAAAGCTTGTTATGGAGTTGCAAACTTAGTTATAGCCAGGCTTGGGTGACACCGACTACGCGGTAGCGTCGCGTCTTCGTACGCGCGACGTTGACGGCGAAAATTAAGCTTAATTAAGCGTACTGGATTTCAAGCGAATCAGTGTTAATTTTCACTTCATTTTCGTCATCAACTTCGCGGATACGAACACGTGACGCTACCTCGAGGTACGGTGCAGGCTTCGTCGCCCAGGTCTAGTTGTAACGAATAGCGCTGCTGAGTGCCGAAACCGAGTTCCGAAAGCGGCAAATGTTGGTGCCGGAGAGCTCCGCCGGGCTAGTTAAAAATTCAGATGCTTAAACTGGAGTATAGCAGAAGCTGGGCGCCTGAATAGGAAGTGTTCAGCTGTGATATTTAGTCCTAATTGGACTGTGTTCTGTCAATACACGTACCGACATTGAGACCTTAATTAGTTTTGTGAGCTTAAGGGGATCCCTAAACCGCCACGTCTCCAACCCCAGCCAAAAAGACCTTGCAGTAGTAAGAACCGCGCCTAACATTCGCTCAGCAGGCGCGCGTGCCGCATCTGTTCTGGTGTAGTCTACATGTAGTCTCTGGTCGGAGGGTGAAGTCTATATGCAATACATAATAACTACTCAAGTTTTGACCTCTATCGCATCACACCATTTTTTCTGCAATTTAAGTAATCACTAAACGAAAAACTATACCACTCAGTTCTACGTTTTCATGTCTTTACTATTTCCATATTATCCCCTTACTAAGAATACGTATGCAAGTACCTACTTATGCTTACCAAAAGTATTTAAGTATCTACCTATTCGCATCTAGACTACCTCGGTCGGCAGTTGTTTGTATGAATCACGCACAGCTGCGGAGATACCCATAAAGATATGTACGTCAAAGATACACCGATTGGCTTCGCTCATTTGGCCGACGCCGACATTAGCCGCCAAGGTAGCTGCATTGTAGATTGTCTGTTTATTTCACAGCAGATAATTGCGTTAACTAACTCTATGCGTAATTTTCAGATGTCTTCATGGTACTTCAGACTTCTTTTTGATATCGTCAAAGTAGTTGTTTTTTTTAGCTATTTTCGTTATTTGAAGACACGAATATTCGTCATTGGTATGCACTTATGACTGTGGTGAGTAGTCTTATATCGTGATTGAGAGTTAGGGAGTGTTTGTGAAGAAGCCGAAGTCTGGAAGCAATCGTCAGAATTGTTCCAAAAATCGAAAATAGCAGACGGCATCAGTTTTTACTCGTTCTTTTTTTTTATTTAAAGACCTTAGCGGTATATTTTTCCCACTATAAAACAATTTCGAATTTATTTCTTATTCAATTGTAAGCAAAGACCGATTCTATTAGAGAAATGAGTCAGCCACAAAATCTGTGCGAAAATAGAGGAATAAATGTAAGACAATCTAATTTAAATACAATACACGCCCGAGGTCTAACATGGTCCAACCTCAGGCGACCTACATTTTAGTAGACATTTTGCATTTACAACAAGCGAAAAATTTGCATAAGGCGCAAACGCCCGCTTATAAGTAAGCACTCGTATGTACAAAATATATAAGTGTATATGTATAAACAATCTAATAGAATAAATACTGCAAATCGAATGTGCTTTAGGGCAAATATTTGCATGTAGACACGGCCCATTGGTGGCGACAAGCCTCAAGCCGAACAGCGCAGGTAATGCATCAGAAACGATCGAGGCGTGTCTGTCACCATTAATTCGCTAGGCTAGTTTAGTGTAAACGACACCACATTTGAAGGCATTTAAATATTTGCGAAAAATCGAGCGAATGTTAAAAACAAAAATAGTAGGAGTCGCGGGGCAAATGAATTAAGGCGCACTAGCAGTCAAATGCATTTGCATATAATACGAAGGTATACAATTTAAAAAGAATCAAATTGAAATAACAATTTTACATCTTACTCACCAATCGATTGTTCGCCGGGACGCTCCCAAGCATAGCGCTTGCCATTACAGCTGTAGCCATTGCGCGCATACGCTTCGCGCATCCAACTCGTCGTCTTGCCAAACTTCGCCGCTGGTAGATCCGTCTTCATGGCGAATGTCGGCTGATGATTGTTATTGCGATCGCTGGCCACGCCATAGCCGCATAATTGGCCATTCAGCCTGCCACCTCCACCACCACTAAAACCAACATCGCGCTCATTACAGCTCACCGCCTTCTTGCGTCGCAACGATGTGCGCTCCAGCGTGCGCTCAAAATCACTGCACACTTCGTCGAGCGCTTCGCGCAGAAACGCGCGCGTCTCGGGCGCATCACGGCGTGATTGATGCTCTTGTTGGCGCTGACGTAGCATGCTATATGGCACATCACTCTCTGCGCCACGCACTGACGAGCAGGTGGATGAGGCTGTGCCGAAGGGTGAATCAGCGCGGGGCACACTGCTGCAGTTGCTGCCGTAGGTGTAACGCGGCACCGACGAGGAGCGTGGACGCGGCGTGGATGTGCAAAAGGCGGTGGTGGTGTGGGAGGCGTGCGGTATGGGTGGCGGCGGCAAGCGTGGTGAATCGGGTGAGTCATTTTCGTGTGGCACCTGCGAATGGATGAAATGGTTACGGATATAAATGTGTGAAGTTTTATGGGTTGAGAGATAATTGTTAAAAATTGTGTTTTTGCAAGGATTTTTTTTTTTATTACATCGATTTTTTCGATTAGCAATGGTTGAGGAGATTGTACCGCTTTGGCATTTTTCAATTAACTTCTAAGCGGACGACGCAGCGCGCGCTTTTTAATTTCACTTTTAATTTCATTTGTGGTATACTCTTACTTTTTTTTGTTTATATTCGCATTGCGAATTGTCATATAATTTTGCGAAACACTCTTTGATGTCGCCCACATGTTGAAACCGCGAGAAATCCAAGAAAATCAACGCTCCGCTTTAACAAACAGCCTTTCGATGCGCTTGTTTTTGCGGTTGTTGGCAAAAATCCCCTTTATTGCTGTGAAATTTTGTATTCGAGAGATCAAAGAGGAGATTTTATGACTCATAAGCGCATAAAATAACTGTATTAACTGCTTGACAGCGGCTAAGTGGGGGAGCCACAACGCGAGGCAACTTTTTTATTGCACTTTTACGACTTAAAGTGTCACTGATGTCACAATTAGCAATGTTTTAAAGAAATAATGGCCTCAGTAATGGCGTGGAAATTTTTAATTAAACACAGGATGTCAGCTCTTTGTTAAATATAGTGTTTTCAAACAATAGGGTAGGAGAATGGTGTTGAAGGGCCGCGACAGCGTAGTCAAACGTACGAATGGTAGCCTTCATTAACAGTTTCTTTGACGAAAAGTATGCGCAAGTGATTTTATATTCCAAACTACATGAACTTATTGAGAATTCCATGGAGTACAGAGAAATATGTAAACACGAAAACTCACCCGCCAACAGGGGATAAGTGATGCACTTACACAGATGGCGCTGGTGGTGGTATGCAACACCTGCACACAGGTGGCGCTGAGGCAGCCTCAACATAAATATAGCGCTTTCTTCAATCAACTGTTCATTTAGGGGTCAATAAGTGCCATTTTTTTACTTGGAACTCTCGAGCGGCCATAACACTTGGTCATCATACCTGGTGGGCATTTCAAAGATTCTCTCTCATGCCCCACGAAACAGCCGCGCGCGACCGTCATTACGGTAAATCAAGACCAACCAAATTCATTTATTGAAAAATCACTGTGTTGCCCTCTAACCGGACATTGAAATAAATTTCAATGCCAGCCTCTAACCCGCCATAAGCCATTCATCAAAACAGCGTTGCCGCAAGCAAATGCGCAAATAAACAAATAAACGCAAAGCGCCGGCAATAAAAACACAGACATATTAAAATATATGCATAGCTCCATTTAAAACCGATCGCAAATACCAATAATAAAATAAATTGCAAAACGATCCGCGGCTGCCGCGCGTACGCTCCAACCAAAGCGGCAAAACTCAATTAAGTGTTTCGACTTTGCAATTTGACTTTGGAGTCGCCGCCATTCAATTCGTTTGCACGCTGTTGCGCTTATCGTTTGTGGCATGCCACAAAGCCTACCAGTAGAAGGCAGACAAACATACAGATAGACAACTCACCTCTGGCACTGCCTGCACCCGTGCGGCGGCGTCCCACTGCTCGAACATAGCGTCCAGACCCAGCATGAATTCCATTGATTTGCGCGAGCGCCGGCGACTGCGACGCTGCAGCTCCTCCTCCGATGGCTTGGCATTCGCTAGCGATTCGCAGTAGCGTACAAAATCCAAATCGATGTGGTAACCGTAGGGGCAGCAATTGCAATTGCGCACATTGGCAGCCGCAGCAGCTGTGGCGATAGCCGGATTGCCGGCATACAATTGTGGCAAACGACCTACAGCAAAGCGGGAGATAAGCAAAATAAAAAAGAATGGTTAGAAAGCAATAAGAAAATATTGAATTTGCGCACAACAATATCGTAAATGTGTACGTTACGTACATACATACAAGGTTTATGGGCAGTCGAGGTAGATAGTAAGTTATAATAATGGTGCTGCCAAGTAAGCGGCAACACTTTGCAAATAAAATGCAAAGTATGTGGTGCAGCCTCTCAAATATTTTATGACTTTTCGTAATAAAAATGCAATCGACAAGGAGGTTTATCGTGTACATACATACAAATATTAGGGGATAGAAGCACAAGCGCATGCGCATCATTGTGTAGGGGATAATGGCGCTGGTGTATACCGGAAGACGTGGAGTGATGTTTGGATGCATAAATTAATAAATAGCTGCTTGACATGACAGGTTGAATTATACAGATGTCTGGGCATGCGCGCCTTTTAGGGGGGCAATCTTTGAAGCCACGCAGAATGCTTGCCAGGAGCATACACACGAATTTCTCAAAATAGACAGGCAAACATAGCAGGGGTTAGGCAATAATTAGTTTAACTTTTCGTATTCTAAAAAGTTTAAGACAAAGAGTGTGCATTCTTTTCTGAATATCAAGGCGTCTTCTTACTCAAAGTTTATATTTTGAAGAAAGCTCATCTAATGTCCGTACAGGTACCAAACTATCTATCGTGACTCTTTGGCTTAAACTGCAAGTACGAAAAACTCGCTGAGACTCTCAAAGTCAACAGCTACCCAAAAAAATAGTTGTATTCCTAACAAAGCGGAGATTTTCTTTTCACAAGGGTGGTTTTTTGCTAATTCTCTCTGACAGAGTGAGGTATAGGGGAAAGGATTAAGAACGCATCGGTAGAATTATATTTTTACAGGGGTTGTCATCCATTGACAAACACCCATACTCTAGCTAGGCTAAAGGACCTGGGCTTTAAGTGCACTCACGAAGCTCATTTCGGACCACACCGATCACAGCACACCGATTTTGGGTGGGAGTGGATTTCTCGTCACCTACTTCCCATCTTCCCACTAGGCGAAGATAGCTTCCGCGAGGAAACCTGCATCAACTTCTAATTCAGTGTTTTCCCATTGAAGGTAGCCGCAATGAAGGAATGCGGATGCTTGCAAAGGAGATTAACATATTTTCTGATAGCCAGGTTTGCAATCACGATCCTAACTCTTTGATGATACGTTCGAAAACCGTCATGTAACATTTAAATTCTATCACGATGGCATCAGATCACTTCGCTATCAAGCTTATTTGGGTTCCAGACCACAGCGTTATCGCAGGTAACTGCATAGCTGATGAGTTAAAATACAATTCAGGAATTCTCAGGAATTGTCGCCGAGTAAGGAAAGGGTTGGGGCGCTACTGGATAGTCAGCTCAACGAACGCTTAGCGAAAAGTTTTGAAATTAATGGTGGCTGAGACCTTCCGACTACGGTATACTGGCGGCGGAGTAGGTAGCTCTTAATTTAAACAAATGAAATCTCTCTTTACTGGTGCAAGCTCTAACTGATCATTGCCTGATTGAAATCCATGCGCTACGGCTGAACACCACGCCCAGCCCTTACTGCAGCTGTGGTACGTTTCCCCAAACTTAAGGTTTAAACCCCTTGGGTCTCACTACTTTAGTACACTGGCGGTGGAATATAAAGCTCTTAAGGCCGAACAAATCTAATCTATCTTTATTGGTGGAAGCTCTAACTGATCATTGGTCTGATCGAAATTCATGCGCTAAGGCTTAACGTCATATCCAACCCTTACTACAGCTGAGGTATGGTTTCCCCGAGCTTAAGTTTTAAACCCCGTGGGGTCTCACTTCTTTCTCACCATCCCGCACTTCGCTGCGGAGCTTTGGTGTGAGCAAAAAGCGTTTTTCTACCACGACCTTCTAGGCGGCACCGTTAAACCATTGCCTTACCGTATTTCCCTGCAGCTTTTCATTACTGTTTGTATTCCTTACCTCTCGTTAATGTTCACACAAAGGAGAGCTAACCCACTAATACAAGTATATCTCCATTCTACCCTACCGAAATTGCGGTTGTTGATCGAAAAAATAAGCCATAACAGCAAAGCAAGAAGCAGTTGTAAAAAAGATGCAGGACCTGCATTTATAATCGACAAACAAATTCTAACGAAGAAAAACAACCGTAGTCTCCTACAAATTAGATGTATTGTCTGTTTGCCAGCGATACACAGCGGATCGCCGCACACCCACAGCAAAAGCAAAGACGATCGTTAAACAAAAACACAGCGCAAAAATGCAAGATAAACAAACAATAAAAAAAAATACATAGAAAAAAAGTTAATACAATAAAGAGTTTATTGTTAAAGCTTGCTCTTTTCTCATTCACGTATAGAAGTTAGTTTCAAGGTCACGTTTGAAATTCAATACCATATACCAGCAACACATCAAGTTTTTTTTCGGCATGAGCGCTCAAGTTCAGCAACATCGACAGGCATAGAATACACAAATCACAGAGGTAAATATGTATTTCTTGGAATACTTTGAAGGTGATTTGGCGCTGGCGAAACGGTAATCGAAGACAGACAAACATTCGTGCGCACAAGCAACGAAATCGTTGTCGAATCGTGCAATCGGGCATAACTAACCAACAAGCGAAAAGAATTGGTCACATTCGCCATGGGTCGTAAATCTTGCGCATGACAAAAAGCGCTAATAGAAACGAGCAGGTAAAGCCAAGCAAAGTAAAGCAAACAAATGTAGCAACCAAGCCCAGAAAAACATGAGTGCGCAGAGTTTAGGAATGCCACACCTGCCATTTGCTTGCCCTTTTTTGGTACAAGCGGCAAACGATTGTTAGCTGGTGCTTTTTTCGCGGCGCTTCAGAGGAATATTTGCACTCCACCACACAAATGCGCACATATCATTTTTGATCGTAAAATAAATTTTTGCAAAACACTTAAGTCAGCCTTACTCGTCAATTCTTTTAAGCTCTGCAACTGTCTGAATCGTTCACGCTGTACTTCACTTAAAGTTCTTGCAGTCGCTGCGTCCCGCCGTTTGCTAAAATGCCACATGCCGATCCACAACAAAAGCACTGCATTCAAAAACATAGCGCGCACATTGATTTTTACTTTTTCGAAAAAAAAACAGGAACAAAAATAAATTCTTATACTTAATTTACTTTTCAAGCATTAACAACCGCAACACTGCCGCACACGCAAACATGGCGCTCGAATCGAAAATCAAACTAACTCCCTGAGTTCTTGAAAATATTAAAGCTGATATCAATGTTGCTTCCCCTCACAGCGCGCCCTGCCGCTAAACAACATTCCGCATCAAATTTTGGGTGTTATTCAGCAGGCATACCTTCATTACGCTGTAATCTTTGTTTATAGAATGAGTTAATGGACGAAGAGTTGTGGCCCTATCTAGCAGGCGAGCAGGGTATGTACGGCGCAAAGCACAACACCGCAAAGGCCGATAAGCGGCTTTTTATCTAAATTATGAAAGCAGTTTAAAGCGTTGAGTTTATCAGTAAAATTATCTCGGCAGTATTTGGGAGAGGGCGATAAGAAAGAAAAGCAGTATGAGCGCTGAATGATAAAAGCTCAATGGCGCTGAATTAAACAATTTTTTTTTAACAAACTGTGAGCTTTTCAACTAAAACTCATTACTCGGGAGCATTAAGCATACAATTCTCAAACCAGCTTTTCGTTATCGATATTAATCTGAAGTTTAAATGCAGAGGATTTTGATAGACTGGATTGAGCATTAAAAAGATAATATCACTGCTATTTGAAAGAGAAAGATCTGTTTATATTAATTCGGATTTAAGAAAAGACTTCGACGTCTACTTTCCCAATGGAAACTACGGAGTATCTCTAATCGTTCTAGACGATGACAAGACTCTTTTAGATCAATCTTCTAATGTTAACTCTTATTAAGTGTGGGGAGCAGTCTTCTAAGAACATTTTGAACCATTTGTAATGAGTTCAAAGAAGTAACGTTTTAGGAACGAGTACCGGATGTATCAAGTTGTAGCATAAAATCCACTCTGGAATTCCTGAACTCACAATCTAAAAAAAGTTAAGAGTACGCACGAAGAATACGGAACTTTCTGAGGTTTTCAAATGTACACATGTGACCTCTAACTAGGCACAAGGCTGGATCGTAAAAAAATCCTCTCAATTCGAGTCCGACCGAGATATGGTCTTGTTGGGAAGGCTGACTGACTTCTTACCAAGCTGAAACTCATAAATTAAGGATTGAGAGACTTCACTGACGTCACCTTTTCTTCCATTTTTTTTTTTCAAGGACGGGGTCCATCATTGTAATATGTTTACTGGGAATGGAATCCATTGCAGTTATCGGATACGCCATACAACTACAGCTTTCTACCAATAACTATCTCGCAAGAGGAGAGATGACACCAGGCAAAAAATGGCTGAGGCCTTGCGACGTCCACTACAGCTGCCATTTAAAGGAACGCAAATTTGGTTTTGGATTTGTGGTAGCAGAGAGACTCCCTCGCCGAGTACCGTCGTTCACCCCGCTGGACAAGCTTTTAGCCACAATCCGCACCATGCCCCAACGGAATAGAAGGACTAGGCGTCCAAGGATCTCTTGTATGAGCGCTTGTAACGCGTCACGATATCATAATCGTACTTGGCGATTTCAAGATGGTCAAGGAAGGGATCTTTGGCGCCACTGTCCGAAAATTCAGCCTCCACGACAAGTCGTCCGATATCGGACTGTGGCTGATCGACTTCGCCGTACTTCTCCTTGGCCATTACCCTCACTATCCTTCTGCCAAGGCAGTCAAATGTGTATCAGACTTTGTATTGCAAATTGCAAGTCGAAGGCTTTAAGGGCTGCCTGGCTTCTTCTCTGTAGATCTTTCAGTGAGGCTACGTACAGTCAGGTGAAGAAACTTGTACCCATCCTAGCGCGTATTCTTACCTTGTCAATAGTCGGTACTCATGGAATGACTGAGATAGTCGCCGACACCTCTAGGATA